AGCTGCAAAGACCAAAGTGCCTCAAGTTGAAACTGTTGGGGATGATGCCGCCCTAGATAGCGATTTACAAGCAAGGTTAGACAATTTAAGAAAAATGTAATCTCCATTCTGAGCAAGGGACTCCAATTTTTACTTGTGAAGCCGGAGCTCATTTTTAACATGCAGTGTTATTTAAATTGCCCGTGTTCAGTCACTGTTGATTCACTCCTTCTATGGTTGTACTTTTTTCTTACTAGTTCTGTAAGTTGTTCAAGCTGAATTCTTCTGTAATGCTTTGTCCAAACAATTTCTATGCATGCTGTAAGTAGTACACTTTTGCATAGATATATACTATTTTTTTTTACTTTGTTGCTCCAGCTCTTCGTAATCAAAAGAATCACAAATTATCTCTAACCTAAAGTTCGTTTGATTATAACATCAGTTGCTTGAGTTATTAGCCATATTATCTTTTAAAATTTATCCACTTGTTGTATAAACTTCTCAAGTTATAAGAGACCCATTGTAAATAATTGTTCAAAGAAAGTAAAGAACTAACAAGATGAATCTTAATACGAAAAAAGAGAGAAAAAAAAAGGTGTGGTAGAAAATATATGCGAATCTTAATAAATAGCGATATTTATAATATAAAAAAAGGAGTATAAAAAACTTCTCTAGACAAATAAACTGTGAAGTGACAAGTGAAAGACACGTAAGAAAAATATAACAGAGTATCTAATTTTTAAAGGAAAATTATTAATCTTAATAAATTATGTTTTTTTGGTTTATTCATTCTCCGTGGGAAAACACGGTATTCTTGTATAGTTTATATAAATTGTGAAACTATAATAGAGATATTAAGTAAATTTGGTGCTAGAGAAATGTTGCACCAATAGCATGGCAATGGAAATCAATTTTATATGAGAAGTCTTAATCATGACTGTCATGATCGTTCGCGCTTCAAGGCTTTCTGCAACAGTAACCTGCTATTTTTTTTCAATCATTTCTCCTTTATGGATTTCTCTACCGAAAGGGATTTGCCAGAGTTGTTCTACATTTTCAGTAATATTTCATTGTAATATCATTCTTTTAATTATTTTAAACATTTTTTCCTAACCAAAAGTTCTGAACGGACCATGCTATATAAGACATGATATATTTACTGATTTTACTGTGTGCATGATTAATTAAAAAATAATAAGATAGAATTTGGACAAACCTATTATCTGTGAATTGGATGGAGTTTGTTTTTTTATATTATACTCAATCCACCCAGCCCAAATTATGTTTTAGAAAGTTAGGTTGAGTTCTAGGGTTACAAGTTTTAATTTTTGTTTTCTAAGTGAAAGTTATAGTATTCAAGCGTTAACTAAATAAAAGAATAAGATAGTATTTACAAAAATTAATATAAGGTTTTACATAAGTATATGTTCTTGTAATTGAGAGAAATAACATGACTCCCCAAACTTTTAAGATTATATATATATATATATATATATATATATGAGTTTACTAACATATGTAATCAGTATCAAATTTTAGTTGATAAAAAAATATTATTTATAAAAAAACATAATTTAAATACATGGTATTTTAATAATTTTTATTTTTAATTTAAAATAAAAAATTATTTAAATACTCTTAATCTTAAAACTTAAAATATATAAGAGAGTATTTTTAACGACTAAAATTTAATATATTTTAAGGAATTACTCCATATATATATATATATAATATGAAATTTATGAAAATTAAATAAGTATATATATTTTTTAAATAAGTATATTTTTGAATAAGATAGTTTACTTTTTAGTCTTAATATTTTTTAAATAAGTATATTTTTGAAAAGTGATAAAAAGTGAAGTTATATGTGAAGATAAAAAGAATACAAATTCAATTTCTTCACATAAAGCAACCATATCATCCAATTGTTTATTTTTTTATTAGTTAAAATGATTAAATATATTAATTTTGAGTGTATTATTTTGAGTTTCCAAAATTATTAGTTAAGATAAGTTACTGATCAATATAATTTTTTTAATAATTATGTCCCTTAATATTTACTTAGATTTTTTATAGTTTATTTTTAGTTTTGATTTTTTTAAAATAAGTAATTTTTTTAAAAGTAATAAAAAGAGAAACTACATGTGAAGATGAAAACAACACAAATTCAAATTTTTTACCTATTCTAAAACATAATGATATGATTTAATTGTTTATTTTTGTCTTATTAGTGTTAAATATATTAATTTTGAATGAAGTATTTTGATTTTCAAAAATTATTAATCAAGTTGACATTCGAGTTTTAAATACTTAATATGTAAAGTCATAAAAAATTATTTAAACTTGTGCAAAACATGTTAAAAAATATAATATAATTTATCTAAATTAATATAAAATAAATATAATCACAAAATGAAAATTAATATAATATAAATATAATTTAAAATTTAAATAAAAAACACAATGTCGTGATATATAAAGTTTTCACAATAAGTCAAACATTACAAAACAAAAATAAAATTATGATTAATTAAAATACATATATAATTCACATTTTGAATTATGTCCATTAATAAATTGTAAGTGCCGTATGTTTATTTCCATATAACAAGAATTTCAACTTCATTTCTTCATCATTAAATATAAGCATGCATATCTAATCATAATCACAAAAGAAGAAATTTTAAAATAGAATTGAGTCTATTGCATAAACTTTCTAAACTGTTCATTTTTAATATATTCAAAAGGAAGTTTGTGAATTATTGGCATCGTAGCAAGTGCAAAAAGAGTATTTTTTTAGTTGAATTCAACAAGTTTCAAATTCATGGCATTGTCCAATGTTTTATCTTTCTTATCAACATTCCTGTTAAGTTCCATATAACTACCGTTAAAATGTTCAATCAAGTTAATGGTTTCATACCTTTTAATATCAGTTTTATATTTTGTTCCGATACATACAAATTACATTGTCATCTATCGTATTGTAATGAAATCAAACTTTTAAAATAATTTTTGTAGATCTTTTCTTGAATCATTGACATGGTTTAGATGACTCAAGCTGTGTAGAATTCTTTCATATTGATGATGATTGAACTTCAAATGGTGTAATTGAATATGACCTTCAAAAGATATAATTGGTGACATAAGATTTGAGACAATCACACTTCTTGTGTTAGTAGTAGACCTAGTACAACTAATCTTTTTCATTTGTATGGATATTAAAACAATTACAAATTACCAAAACATTTAAGTAATAATAAACATTTTGTTTCGTATAAAAATAAAATATAATAGTCAACAAAAAAACAATCATAAGTTAACACTATCACCACATCACATTCATCCAAATTACTACATAAATGCAGAGTAAAATCACGAAACGCATACTATTGGTGTGTTTTTTTGCATGCAAGGAATAACTTGTGTTTCTGCAAACTATATAAGCAAGACACTTATAGGGAGATAGATGATGATGGATAATGAAGATAACATTTTTATTTAAAAGAATGAAAAATAAAAATGCATAGACATTTCACTTGAAAAAAAAAGTCAAAGGTAAAATTGTGTTGGAGAAGAGGCGTCAATGGTGAACAATAAAGACGAACAACATAAGTAAATGATGGAGAGACAAACAAATGGAGGTACACAAGAGAGACAAATAATAGAGAAAAGTGACAAAGGAAAATGGTGAAGGAGTGCAAAAAAGAAAACGCATCATAATAATGTATAGATTTGTTTGTCTAATGTTCAGATTAATTTGTGACAAAGACGAAAGACATAGACAAGTGATAAAGATGAATGACATAAATGTTAAAGCTGATAAGACATACTACCAAAAGAGTGTTTAAGATTGTTTGTTTAATGTTAGGATTGATATAAGTGAGAGTCTAAGATAAATGATGAATACGAAACAAAAACATCTCCCTATCTTGAAAGTTTTAGGTTTTATAAAGATTATGCAAGACATAATATGACACAAGTATAAAAAGTGAATTTTAGTTGAATATTGAGTTACTTATTATAAATTTATTACTAAACTTTTATAAAATTATAAATTCATTACTAAACTTTTATAAAATTGAATTAATTTAAGATATTTTAGATTTAATCTTGTAATAAATGAGACCGAATTCTAAATCTAATTAAATTTGATTGAGTAATAAATTAATATCCGATTCGATAGATTAATATCCAATTCAGTAAACATCCATCGGTTTTATCTTACTTTTTTATCTTACCTTTTTCGCGAGAGAACTTATTATTTTACATATAAAACCAAAACATACATGAATTCAATAAACTATGGTGCAAAACGTTTTCATAAATTGTAATATATCTTATTCTTATTTGGTACTTGTAAATATTAAAGCTAAAATAAATTTAATCTTGAAAATAGAACTATAATTTAAAATTTAAAAATAGAAAATAAGTTTACTTTAAAATTTACATTTTCATTATCGGATAAATGTTAATTATTAATATGTTTTAATGTTTAAGTTATTAATTAATTTTTAATATTTTTTTATTTACTTTTATTAATTAATTAGTTAATTTAATGTAAATTTATAAAAAACATTTATTCCAACCAAGACGTTGAAAAGACCAACCGAGATGTTTATAAAGCAACCCAAACACAAACGATCCCCACTAAATTATGGTTCAAAAGATCTTCATAAATACCTATTTATTTATTTTTACCATATTTTAGTATGTCATAGAAAATTCACACTGCACGTATGCTTTTCATACAATAAACGTATAAACGTCCAATGCTTCCGACAAGCATCCCTAATACGAAAATAATAATAATAATAATTATTATTATAATAATAATAATAAATTATTGCAACGTGTCTTTATAGAATTTAAAGTAATTTGGCTTTGTTTGTGAATTATGCAATGATTTAAAATTTAAATAGACTTCCATAGATAGCTACGGTCCAACAGCAACAATGGTATCGTACCAATCAGAATAAATGTCCAAAGATGTGATGATCATAATTTAAACAAATACGAATTTTAAAATCAGTTTATATATAATAAAATGAATAAATTATTTATGAGTGAGCCTAAAGTGAACGGCAATGAGATATTTAAAATTAAAAATGAGATCCTATCACTCACTCATGTCTTGACGACAAGGAATCAAAATCAAAATAAAAATCTTGAAATCTTACATTTTTATATGAGAAGAAATCTTGTTCGAAATGATTAAGCCTATTAGAGACAGCAAATTCTTGTTCCCACCAAGAGATATACTTTAAGATCTGCATCAACAACCTATGCATAAATTCGAAAGTGCAGACTCTAAATTTTTATATTATTATTATTATTAGTATGATTATTTGAAGGGTATAAGAAAAAAAAAAGTGAGAGTACTGAACCTCTTTTTTTGACGTAACATCAGGAACAAGGTATCCAAAGTTGGGTGCTTTAGCTGTGTCTGTTCCTTGTGGAGAAAGTGTTGAAGGACTGAGTGGTCACAATTCCAGCGCAGTGTCAGACCCCACAAACCATCTTCTAATTTGCATTTCATTCTGAATCAATTCCGCAAAATCCATTTACAAACTCATAATCGCTCATCGCACTTATAATTTACAAACACACCGCTACATCATTCCAGCAATGTCTGAGAGAAACGCACCACAGGTGTTCGACAAATTGGGCAGTCCAAGTGAGAGTAGAGCCACATGTCTATGCATGGAGCGTGGAACCAGTGCTTGCACTGTGGAAGCTTCCGAACTTCTTCTCCTTCTTCAAAACCAGATAAGCAAACTGAGCATTCATCATCATAACCCACAACTCCTTCTTTCTTGTACTTGAAGCTTGACACCGAGTTCTCTATTCTACTTTCACTCACCACCTCCACCAACCCATTTCCCCCTTCGCCTTCTGATTGCACGTGCCTCCTTCTGCTCCTCCTGATGATTATGAAGTTGTACAGGGCTAATGCCGCCGCTGCAACCCCCACCACCACAAGCCCATAGTATAACATGGTTGTGCTGGACTTGTCCGAGGAAGAGGGCGAAGGAGGGGGTGACACTATGAAGGGGCCTTGGAAATCGCCCATTTCTGGAACTTTGGACCGAGGAAAATTAAGACAAGAACAACAGGTTGGGGAATATGTTTTCAACAACCAGACATCAATCAGAGAAAATCTCGTCTGTTAGCTTGGAGGGCCTGGCGCATGCAATTATAGACATTACCTTTTTTTTATATGAAATTAAATTAATGTAAAGTTGTTAATCTAAATGCCGTGGCGGTTATGTAATCGTTGGAGAAGAGAAAATGATATTTTTTACTTGAAGATATGATAAAATATGTTGTAGCAGTGTTGTTTTGAGAGACGAGAAGATAAGAGATGTAGTAAATATGTAATACAATAATGAGTACAGAGATAGTGAACAGAGAGATGTGTGATAATGAGGACAGAGACAGTGATACTTTTTCCCGTTGCATGCGGGTATGGTAATACTATGTATGTAGTTAATACACTTCTACATGAAACCCCTTTTGTATCCATTCAGAATGCACAATTGTATTTATTCGCCTCTCTACTGTGCTCCTTGTAATGTCTATTTCCAATAGGGACGTTTTGATTGACACATGCAACACAATTTTCTGCCCTTTCTTTCGTTTTTCACCTCTTTCATCTTTTCGTTTTCAATCAAAAGCTATAAGGGCCACAGCTTTCTAAGTATCTCCATATCATACCATTGTTTCGGCATAGTCCTGTAACCCCAAAACCATCCTTCTTTCGGGAAATTTCGAAAAAGCAATTTTAAGAGTTATGGAAAATAACTTCTAGAACAGATCAAGAAAATACGTTTCAAAATTGTCTCCATGATGACTTTCTTTATATTTTCTTAGAAAGCAATAAGGTATAATTCTATATGCAAAAAGAAGGAGGGAAAAGTAAACTTAGCAGATGGGAGGAATGTAAACAGCAATAGTCCAATCGAAGTGCAACCAAACTTGGGCTAGCCTAAAATTTTAGCCCATAAAGAGTGGGAGATGCTCCGAACCCAATATATGGTAATAAAACACAAACGAGGATGGGCAAACCAAAGGAGAATCTAACGTTATATATACTTTTGAAGCAAGAAGACAAAAAAGATAACCTTATCTATCGATTCCAATGGAGAAGTTGACACGTAAGACATAATAAAACATGCTAAAAATTTCCACCTCTCCTTCTCTCACAGTTTTCAGAAGCATCTCTCTCTCGCACACACGCACCACAACACAACCAATTCCTCACTTTTGAAACAAGTTTCAGCAGAGTGAGAAACTTGCAGGGGAAAGGAATGGCTTCAACTTCAGCAGTTTCAATGTCTCTCCCACTAACTCACACCGCCCAGAAGAAGGTGGTGCCCACTTCCCAGGCATTGTTGAAGGCACCGTTATCTCTGCGAACTTCAAAGGGTGTGGCAGTGTCCAAACCCAATGGGAGGTTTGAGGTGAGGGCATCCATGAAAGAGAAAGTTGTGACGGGTTTGACTGCAGCTGCATTGACGGCTTCCATGATGGTTCCGGATGTGGCTGAAGCCGCCGTAACGCCTTCCCTCAAGAATTTCTTGCTCAGTATCGCCGCTGGTGGAGTTGTGGCTGTCGCGATTATCGGTGCCGTCATTGGTGTTTCCAACTTCGACCCCGTCAAACGAAGCTGAGGGCTTTTCTAGAGTTTATCTGTGTTCTTCACTGTTGAACTCTCCCTTTTTTAACATGTGATTATCTCCCTTTGGACCAATTCTTGCAATGTAATGAATCATTTTGGCGTATCATATAAACATCTTCATCGCTTACATGTTTCTGCCACGTAGTGTAGGAGTAAGATGTATCACTTTTTCCTGAAATTTTCCTGAAAAATCCTAGACGCTTTGTCATATGAAATACTGTCATCGGGGCAAGAGAATAAAAATATGTGTTGTCTAGATATAACACCAATTCATAATTTATTAATGGATGCAAACTTTTGAGTATCATATGTATGATATAACGCTGGAAAAGCTATTCTTCTGGGCTTTGGGAAAACTTTTACGAAACCAATTTGATAGGAGTAAATACGGAGAACTCGGGAAGCTCAATACTTAATCCTTTATGAGAGAAATAGTTTTAGGTACATCATTCTTAGGTTCTTCAGGCATTCTGGTCGATCTTCCCTGTGGCAAAGTTCACAAAATTCACCCCACAGACCTTTAGATTGAGTTTCTGTATAATTCCAATCTTCCTGAAGATGGGAACTGATGGGTAGACAAGTGTGGAGTTATCGTCAACATTCACTGTATAAGTAACAGGTCTAATAGAATTGTTTTCTAGGTATAGAACCATCTTGTCTGGGTAGATTTCAACATGCCAAATCCAAAATAAGTTCCTGTTCTTCAAATGATTGAATTTTTCTATGCAGGTTTCAACTCACTTTTGGATGCCAAGTAAACACTACCTACCTCAATTGCCGTGATTGCGATCGACATTGATAAGGATTCAGGGCAGCTATTAGAAAATGTGTCCCTCATTTTTCACAATCGCATCATGCCTCGTGTAAATTATTGGTGTTAGCCAGTAGGCTCGAAATTCTGCATATTGTAACAGGTATTTTGAATTGGATGATGAAGATTATTAGCCTCCTTATATTATTGTTCTTGGGTGATGTCCATGCTGACCACTACAAAATTTCTGCGCAAGGAGCACAAGGTCTAATTCCACACCGACCACCATAATCATTACAAGCAGTTTAAGTACATAGTTTAATTCGGTACGATAAGCCTGTTTTATGAAGCAGCTATGTTCCTTCTGCACCAAGTTTTTGACTCCCAGTGTAAAGGTTTTGTCAATCTGTTGAATTTCTATCTTCCAAACATGATCACTGACCCGTCTCCTAACCTAATTTATATTAAGATTTTAACTTTTATTCATCGTAAATAATTAAAATTTTACACTGTAAGCCTAAGATAATCTCTATCAGTATGACATCACATTATCATGTCCTTTTCACCTAAAATCAGAGGAAAAAACAGAAATTAATGTGTCGTTGATGTTTCCATGGAATAGCCTAATTTATATCCATGAACATGTGCTATATATATCATTCTTTATCAATGAAAAAACATTTTGTCAACTTGCTATTTTCATCTTGTCATTTATTTAACCTTATCGTGTCATCTTAAGATAATTATTTTCTGGAGTTTGTTAAGAAGATCAATGGGTATCAGTTAGCTCGACATCAAAAAGTTGACTTTGCTTAAGTTCTTTTTTTATTTGGCCGTAAAATGCAAAACAACAAATTTCATCTACAAGTCTGAATTAGTAATTTAAAAGTATTACTCTATAAATTTTGTTAGTAAAATCCGATTATAATCCAAATTTATTGATGGATTAATTTTTATAGTAAAGATTTTTTGGTAATTACAAAAATTTTTATAATAATTTTGCAAACTCAGAAAATACTAAGAAATTTAAGAAATTATAGTATATTAATTTAAATATAATAAAATTATAATATTAGACTATATAATAAAATATATAATTTTACATGTGTACATAAATAATATTATTTTTAAAAATTAATTAAAGTTTTTTTAGTAAAATTAAAATACCTTAACTCTAACATTAACCTACTTGAAATTGGACTTTGAAGTTTAGGACTTTTTTTTTACAAAGCCTCCTAAAAAAATGATTTTTTTTTAAAATAAGTTAGGACTAATTCATGGACCATAAGCCTAATTCACAACCCTAAATATCAATAATTTTGAGATCTTTTTAAAAAAAACATATATATTATTATCAAATTTAATGATACTAACTAAACTTACTTTAATGTAAAAATAATCTTATTATTTACTTATTTTGTTCAATTTATTCTCTTTATTAATGAAATATTCGATCAACTTCTTCGATTTTAAAAATATATTATTTTTTTTAAGATTCAATAAAGTTTCTCAACTTTTTAAAACGTCATGTGACTTTTGTGATGATGGGATATTTTTGGGATTCAATTAAGTTTCAGAATTTTTTTAAAATGCAATAACCTTTCTATATGTTAAAATTGACAACACCCACATAGTTAGTTTTAGCGCTATGTATTTATTAAAATACACATTATACTTAAATTAAAAAATTAATATCAATCTATTAATTATTTTATTGATTATTAAGGCATTTGATTAAATCTTTAATAACAGGACTCAGCTAAATAAATAAGGGTGTTGCTCCCTTCACCACCTCAAGTGTTTCTGCACCTTCCACTATTTTTTTTTATTACAAAAGTACTCTACACCTCTCCACTATTTTCTTTTATTTCAAAAATACCCTACTCCTCCCCACCATCCTTAACAATCTTTCTATTTCTCTCTCTACATTAATGGAGCATTCATATGGCATAGATTTAAACTTGTGATATATTACAAAATATAAAATTCAGAGGAAACTTCAATATTAGTGTTTCTACCACTTCCATTTTATAAACTTAAAAGTTAGATGCAAATACAAAATAATAAACATAATAATATTAATAGTAAATAATATATTATTATTATTATTATATACTAACTTTATAATGACGAAAGAACTAAATAAATTCCAAATCTTTAACAAATAACTTTTCTTTTATATTTTAAGTATTTAATAATATTTTTATATTATTTATCTAATAAATTAAATACTTTATTCAAGTTATTTGAGTCAAACATGTCAGTAAGTTAAAACATAATATAATGTTAAAAATTATAGATATTAAATGTAAAAAAAACACACATATATATAAACATTTTTTTAGAAATTTAGAACAAAATTTTACCATTTATTAAGTAATTTGAAGAAAAAAAAAATATATTGAACAGTGAAAATAAGATTGAATCAAACTTATTTAAGAGAATGTGTAAATAAAATTTTGCAATATATCACAAGTTTAAATATGAGCCATGTGAATGCTCCATTAATGTGGAAAGAGAAAGAGAAGATTGTTGAATATAGTGGGAAAGTGTAGGGTATTTTTGGAATAAAAAAAATGGTGAAGAGGTGTAGAATATTTTTGGAATAAAAGAAAATAGTAGGGAGGTGCAGAAGCACTTGAGGTTGAGGTGATGGAGGAAGTAACACCCACTAAATAATACCACAGAAGACATCTTTATCACAAGTCCAATATCTACAATCATTAATTTAAACCCCGATTGTAAAATCTTCTTATGCTCAAATAGCACAAAATTTAAAATAAAAATGTAAGTCATAAAAATAAAACAATGTCTATTTGTCATAAAAGCAAAATTTTCTCCTAAGATCGAAATAAAAAAAAATACTAAAATGGAAGTCTTATAAATTTTTTGATCGGAGCAAAAATTACAATAATTTTCAAAAAACGACGTGACATCATGATACCTAACAGAATAAAATAAGATCTTACACAAGCAAAATGACCAACCATAATCAAAACAAGTATTATTTTTCTAGTTTGTTTTAAGGGCAAGGATTTTGATACAACTGGAGAATAATTGCTGAAATAAATTAATAAGAATTAATATCTAAATAATTTGGTTGGGATGGGGATTTTTGTGTTTTATTTTGGAGCTTTGGAGTTTGATAATGCATGTTTGGGTGTACACTGATTTGAACGTATTGGGAGAGCGTCCATGGAAGCTCTCAAAAGTTATTAAACAGTCCAAATCCAAGTTTGGATATTTTTTCTCGTTATAATTGAAGATCTCATTGAAGTTATAAAGAAATAGTGGTTTATGCGAAGAGCGATTGAGCAAGCATAAAGGGGATGGTGATGTAGTTTATGTGAGGGAAAAAGAAAGATTAGGGATAAGTTTGGTTATTGGTGAAACTTAAATGAGACATGATCTTGGTACCAAACAATGCAATATAGAAAGAGTGAAACGCAACTTGGGAACGTTAACGGGTGACCTAACAGAAGTGATGTCAACCTTGTAAAGTTGATTTTGTTAAAGTTTGGATTTTTCAAAAGTGTGTATGAGTGTCTTTGTGAAGGGGAAGAGCCAATGGAGTTTAGTTTAGAAAAGGTAAGAGAGAGAGATGATGAGATAATAAAAATTATCGTCAAATTATTAAAAAGTGTCATTAGGGCATAATTAAAGATTTCCGGCAAGGGGCGTGGATTATTATAGTTGGATTGCTGGAATTGGGTCCAACCAATGATGGAGATATCTAAATCTTCCATTATTATAAAAAAATAGCTTTCATTGGGCAAACTAGAGTTGAGCTCCTTTCCAACCTATTTGCTGGAAATGCAAGGAACAAAGGGAAACAAAAGCAAAAGTAGATTCCCACCGCACATGTTATGTACTACACAATGTCTAATTTGTCTTTGCTTGCTTAGGGACCAAACTCCATTTTATTTATATCTCATTTTCATTCATTCTACCTCTTTCATCATTTCCTCAAACATATACATACTTGTGATTTCATCATTCTATTTTACAGTGAGTGTTGAGGGTATAAAAGAGCTAGCTGCATTTGTGCATGTAAGAAAAAAGCCCTGAGGTGATGGTCTAAGAATTATAGGTAGGAGAGTATTGACAACGGTATGAATGAATCTACCCAGGAAGAAAAGGTCCACTCCATCAAAATGCAAAATCTAAACCAGAAGCAGGCCATCGTCAGCAATCACTGAAGTGGGCCTTCTCTTCTGAGATCAGGATATTAGTCTGCCACAAAAGGGGTCCACCAATAAAGACTTCTGCGCAATCAGGGAAAGTGAGAGTGAGAGAGAAATACAAACCATGGAATTATCAAATATGAATTAGAATATGAAGTAGAGAAGGATGTGATATAGGACATCTATAAGAGAATAAAAAGTTAAGGGGGAAATTGGAAAGTTAAAAGGAACGAACCTGTGTAGGAAGGGATAAGTATGGAGAAGTTCAGTTCCATCCCAAAAGAGAACCTTTGGGTCCCTTGTCATCTTGTTGGGGTCACTGTTTACACTCAGGACTCTACTGCTTTCTTTTAACCTCATACACAATGAACAGTGGAATTATTTTAATTTCTCAGCCAATACTACCCATTTGGCACTGCAAAATAAATTAAAAAATTAGTCAAAAGCTCCTCCCATAGCTCATCTCAGATTCTGTTCTTGTGGAACCAAAAATATTTTATCTTATATTATAAAGCTGCTCTCTTCCATCTGTTTCAGAGCATCTTCACACATATGTATGCAGTTCTCAGTTCTCAGTTATCAGTTGTCACTCCCACAGGGAAACACATGAACAGATAAACCAGGTATGGTTTTCTTGGTAAGGAAACTCTGGCTTCATGCGCATAGGCCAAAAACAGTGTCTGCAACACCCTTCTCACTTTCAGTTCTTGGCTAAAGTAAGATCTGGGAACAACATTTTTGGTTCAGGATATAAAGAGAATAAAGGTACTCTATGACGAGTTTCCATCAAAACTAGATAAGAGATATGAAAAAGAATGACGGACAAAAACTATGAAGACCCTTTGGCCGTTAGCCCCTTTTGACAAGCAGAAACTCAAGAAAAGTTTATCAAAGCTAAAAGCCCTTATCTCTTGCAAAACCTCATCATGGCATAGAAAAAAGCATATAAACAAGAAAGGTCCATCTCATTATAATCCATCACATGTTCAAATCCAAAGGGAAAAAGCAATCACGTTGAATAGGAAAGAAAAGGGGTTGTTCTTATTCACCTTTTGAAAGACAGCAGCATGATTGAAATTGGCACACAAACATGTTAAATTCCTATTAGATCCACAGTCACAAGGTTATAATAAAACTGAGAGAAATTCCGGAAAATCATTTCTTTTTATTTGGAATGTAAGCAGTAAGCGATGAGCTAGAAAACGTTCTGTAATACAAGAGGGCTTCGGCTACAGAACCTAATCTTGATCTACCCCTCAACACAATTGTCATGTCGTGCATCTCCACCAAGGAAAAAAAGAAGAGAAATTAAAATAAAAAGAAGAAAAACAAAAAAGTTCCCTAAAGAGGCCTGTGTCGCTTGTGGCCAGCTTTACCGTCAGATTTCACAGCACCACTGGAATCCCCTTCGGAAGAAACCTCCATGGATTTGGTAAAGGAGCTTGAAAGATCCGCATAAAGGTCAACCACTCTTCTGATGTTGTTGTTAAGCTCCCTAATAAGGCCAACGTTTCTGCTGAGATTGTCTGGGACCTTGGACTCGTGATTCTGGTTTATCTCATTGATGAGTACTCGGTTCTGATCCAAGATGTCCTGGACTTGAACAAAGCTTTTCTTAAACGTTTGCAAGATCTTGTTATCAATCTGTGTACCGTTGCCGAGACCAGAGAATGTGTCTCCTTCCATGTTTTTTTATTTTTTCTGTTGGAGTCAAAAGCTTGATCGAGTCAGAACCAGCCCTGCATCATGGGCGAAAAGAAGATGATGAGAAGAAAGAACAAAATATGTGAAATACTGAAAGCGTTTCAACATATTTTTTTAATTTATCCATAATCATATCCTTCTGTGTACCTGCCTGCACTAACCAAAACAGAGAGACAAAACATAAGCAGTTTTGGAATTGTTTAAGGCGTTGGGCAGATGAGACAAGCTCTGTAGTAGAAATCATGACCACCATGAGTTTCTTTTCCAGAGGAATCAGATTATAAACATCAATAATAATAATAATATTTGTTATTAATATTTCTACTGTTGCTATTATTACTATTATTATTTATTATTTATATTGATGGGGTAATTTTTTAAAAATGATGAGACGGGAAAAAGCAGATCCCATTTCCATAAAAGGACCTTTTTTTAATGTACTCAGAAAATACCTACCTAAAGCACAGAGTTCCAAAGAAGAATCTAAAAGCCACCCCCACCAAAAAAAAACAGTCAATGATGCAGAAGAGATGATATTACGAAGTACTACAGCAGAGACAGTATCATTAACCCTTTTCAAGCAAAATTACGAAAAACAAAAATAGCAGGAGTAAGAAACCGTCCAAATGTTGAACTTTCAACTCAAATACACACGTTTAAGAAAAGCAAAACCCCCATTTAATAATCTCAGACGACCATTAATACTCGATAAAACTCAGCAAAATCCAAACTAACTTTAAGGAATTAAAATGTTCCAAAAGAACTTGGAAAACTTTCGGCAGCTAGAAATTTTTCTCAGGATAAACAGAAATTGGTCAGACAATAACAAAAAAAATAAAACCCATTTGAGTTTGTCGAACCAACAAATTGCAATTGCTGAGATCTCCTGTGAATGTTTCAGTGGAGCGCCGAGAGAAGATGGCGAAGGAAAAGAAAAGGAGCTGATAAAACCAATGAGTGGGTGAAACTGAGATCAAGAAACTCCTCAAGAAACAGTTGTTGTGGGACAAAAACAAAGACTAGAGAACAAAATTCACATTTTATGAAACTATGGCGTGTTGTTAATTTATTTGTTTTGAGAAATTCATGTAAAGGTAAAAATAAAAAATAAAAAGGTTGAAAAAGTTTGTTAATACTAATAACTAAAAATGATATTATAATAAATGGCATGAACGAAAAATGGTACCTTGAAAATCTGAAGCATTATATTGAGGGAGAAGAGACAGAGAGATTGAAAGGAGAGACGAGGGATTCCCGAGGAGCAGTGAGTAATAAAGATCGGCGATTGAATCGAATCTGCGGAGCAAAGGGGCTGTCCTCTGAATTCAGAGAGAGAGAGAAAGAAAGAGAGAGAAAACAGAGAATATGTAGATTTGACAGTCACGCTCGGACCCCTTTGTGTCTTAATATTTAGCACTATTCTATAATGAATATCCACCTGTTTTCTTATTTTCATTTTATATATAATATACACTATTAATTTTCTTTATTTTTTTAATTTCCTTATACATTTCATAAAATATATTTGTCTTTTATCTTTTAAAATACTCTTTTAGCTTCTTATCTGTTAAATCTGACTGAATACCGTTCTTTCAAATGATATCCTCAACTAGCTTCTCGTATCACTGTCTCAAAATTAACCGACTTTATTAAATTATTTGCTAATTATGCTTAGTAGTGATAACTTTGTATTTTTTCACTTACAAAGTTTGTTCAGTTTTTCTTAATCAACAAGTTAAAATATTTTTAATTTACTAATTTTGAATTAAGAAGCATTGGGTGAAAGAGAGAAAGAAAGAAGAGTGGTGGGATTTTTTTGTTTGACGACACGTGGCTGATTCTTGATGTCAAGATTTGTATGATGAGAGGACCCTACTTTTGCCAGCAAATCATGTACCAATTCTTTCCTTAATATTCAGAATCAAACGAATTATGATGGGCGATCACAGGAGTTCCAAAATTTCTGTCGGCCCAATTTTTTTTTATTAAGTGAATGTAACTACCGTTTACTCTGATTCTGGTGGTACACGATCAAAACAAAATAGATTAAATTAAATAAGACTTAATAGCATTTTTTTATATCTTTGTATCATTGATTTAATATTTTTTTATTAATTGTTAACTTAATATGATTTATATATATATATATATATATATATATATATATATATATATATATATATATATATATTTTAAATCGTATATTTTTTTGTTACGTTATTTTTTTTTAAATTAGACCATAAACATGTAAAAAAATCGGTAATTATATTAACAGAATTTATGATAAAAATATTAAATTGTTGTTGTAAGTATAGAGATTAAAAATACTATTAAATAAATCAAATGGCTGAGTATAAACATATCAAAATTAATTTAAAATTAAAAAATTTGACTAGAAAAAAATTAAGAAAAGATAGACAAAAAAAGGAACAATACAAATAAGATAAAAATGTAAAATATATTGGTCAGATGCGATTAGCCTACTTTTCAATTATGTTCTTTTTTACAAATTAAATAGATTAAATTAATCTTTTTAAAAACAAAATCACCTTCCCTCTTATTAAATGTATTAAAAATTTGAAAAATAAAATATTGTTTACATGTACATTATGTTTTTATAGCAATATTTGATTTTTAATATATTTATCTATTGGTTAATTCAGTAATCTTTAAATTATGATTTATTGGTGTGTTTCAAATAATAAGAAGATTAGAAGAAAGGAAGAAAATGGAAAAAATTAATCGGAAAGTTTTTTTCTTTCAAAATTTGCTTTTTTGAAATTCAACCTTCTCTTTCTTTTTCAGCTAAACATTATCGGTGCTCCCTTATTTATTTCTTCCGGAAAAAGATAGATTGTAAATAGCTTGTCGAGGTGAATTACCAGTTTTGGTTTAAGGAAAAATACTTGGGAAATAACAAAATGGTTCGGTTATCTTAATCTTTTTGGTCAACTCAAACTTTCCAGTAATGGAATTTTGAACAAGGATTTCTGAAAATGAGTTTTAACAATGTGTGAGTCGATCTGACTTAACATAAATTAAAAAAAAAATTAAATGTGGATGAAAATGATTTTGACTTAATTTGCAGGTTAAACATATTTAAATGTTTAATTTTAACATCCTATTTTGAATGATTTAACCATAACATTTTGTTTTAGGTTTAATAAGATATTTAACACATCTCCAATCATGAGGCTTTGTAATTGGAAAAGAAAATGAATTGTGTTTGAATCCCTAGATGTTTGAGATTTGTGACATGAATAAAATAAAGAAATGTAAAAATGTTTAATAAGTGCATGATTAGTGAAGATGAGACATTACTAATTTACTACTTTATGTTTGGGTTGTCATGGATCGTATACAAATACTCATTCCAGCCCCATCCTACCTGGAGAATACCAAAATAATTCAATGTTTTCAACAATTTCATCTTTATGCAATCTCACGTCAACAAAATCAAAATTTATTAAGAATTTATCTTTTATTTATTTTTATAAAACAGATTCTTAGATTCTTATAGTAACTAAGGTTTATGTTATTCATATTAACTAGAAAATAATTGCTTCCTTACTTGAAAACTTCGGTATTGAATATTTTTTTATTAAATGTAATTCGAATAAATTAACTTAATTAAATGATTTAATTCTTAGATTATATATGTAATACTCTGACATGAATACAGTGATGTAAATTTATGTGTGTTTTAAACTTTAACATAAATTTTTACGTCAGATTTAGATGACGATCTAACAAATTTATTTACGTCATCAAGCAATAGTTCAACCCCTGAATATAGCGGCAGGAGTATCTAGTCAGACAGCAGTATCATTTCCGAAAGACGTTGCAATACAAGTTTTTGAACACACATGCACCACTAGAGTATTTATGGATTACTCTTTTTATTTATTGTATATTTTGTTTTTTCTTCTTGATTTGAAGTACTTTAGTTATTATTATGACCAAATAAAGTTATTTCGAGTAGTATCAATTTGCTGTTATCAATGCCTTCACATTTGTATTTCAATTATTTAATTAGTCATTTAGATTCAATTTTCATAGAAAAAAAATTAAGTTGATCTTCTAATTTTTTTAGTTTTGATTTGTAGAAATTGATTTAACATAATCTCAATTTATGAAAAATTAATGCAATTTTATTATTTTTTTTTAATTTCTTAAAACAGATTTAAGATTTTTCGTTAAAACTAAAGTGGTTAATATTTTTGTTCTATTAATATAATTAGTTTAACTATGAATAATTTTCATTAATTTAAAACATAACATTCTTTTAGAATTTGGTTTATGAAAAAAAGATTTACTCAAGAATATAACATCAATGAGATCTAAATCCAATCGTATAAAAGATTGAGATTACTCTTGATCCAAAATCTGAAGAGAATGTGTTAATGAGTCTTTACCTTTATATGATTTTTTACTTTCTCATTTCTATCCAATGTGAGACTTTGACTCACACTTGGATTCTCAACAATAATTGGATGGAAATTTCTCTTAAATTTTGATATATAGTGAAGAGTCATTGGTTTTTGGTATAAAAAAGGAGTTTTAAACAATACATCAGATGAAGAGTGATTGATTATAACTATGTCACTCGACAGACTTGAAATTGAAACATTGGTGCCTATCGTAGGATCAATAACGATGTTCTAAGACAAATTGTTGGTTCCTTAAGTACTCTATTGGAGATAAACACTCATTCTTTTTAGACCTCGATTGGGGGTTTATGTTTCTAAAACACTTAATAGTTTTACATCATTTAAAAGTGGAGACCTAAGACAGTTTAAATATTATTTCTTCCTTCCATCCTTTAAAGTATCTTTTAAGAATAAAACTGTGATAGAATAAGGCTTTCAAACAGACAAATACTTCAAATGAAGAATGATTAACTTTAATGATGTCATTCAACGAACTTTAGATTGAAATATTAACACCTACCATGGATCCATAGTGAGGTTCTAAAACAATGGTCGATCTCTTAAGTCTTCATTAGAAATGAAGAATCATTTCCATCTTTAAAAATATAATTGTGACCAAACAAAACTATAAACTCTATTTAAAAATTATGACTAGGGGTGGGCAAATAGAACTGAAGTGCACTGTACTACTATAATCTGTACTGAACTAAAAGCTAATTTGTATAAACTGAACCAAGCTGTAAAACAGTTCAGACAAACTGAACTGTTTTTTGTTTTATCAAACTGGACTGAACTGAACTATACTAAATTGTACTAAACTACAATATAAACTAAACTGAACTACTAACTATATTAATTTTAAACTGAATTATACTAATTTTAAACTAAATTGTACTAGTTTTTAAACTGAATTGTACTAGTTTTTAAACTGAACAGTATAACAATACATGTTCTTTTTAATTGAAATTTATTTTAATATTTATTTTATTTTATTCATAAGTGTCTTACAAATTAACTTTTTAATTATTTGATATTATTATTTTCTATTTTATTTATATTTCTTTTATTATTATATGTGTATGGAAATTATTTTATTATTTATTTATTTTATTTTATTTTATTTTATTTTTTATTTATATTTATTTTGTCGTGAATATTATTTTACTTTTATATTTATTTTTTTAATTTTTAATTTTTTATTTATATTTTTTTGTTTTATATGTATATATAATTTATTTTATCTTTTTACCTACTTATTTTATTTTAAAATAATTTTTTATTTATATTTATTTTATTCTCTCGTAAAATTGTTTTATTAATTAATTATTTATTATTTATATTTTATTATGTAAAAATTAAACTAATATTTATTAATTATTATAATATAATAAAAGATGATACTAGAAAAATTACTCTTAATAAACGTTTGTTAATTTTTTTGTTATTTGATATTTCTATAATATTAATTATTTTTGCTACATTACTATTTGTTTATGATATTTCATTATATATTCATTTAAAGTAATATGTAAAATAATAATATATTCATTATGTAAAATACTATCATTTAAAAATAATAATATTGATATTTATTTTAAAGTAAGTTGATTTTTAAAATAAATAGTTATTTTAGTGTGCGCTTACACACATTTTAATATCATTAAAAGTTTTTTAACATATTTTTACATATTTAATAATATGTTAAAGAATATAATATATTTAAAGTATTATTCTTTTTATGATTTATATTACTCAATCATTTAATAAAATTAAATTTAAAAAAATATATTTTACTTTTATTACTTAAAATAATATTATTTAAAAAGTAATATATGTTTATTGATGAAAAAATATAAAAATTTGTGATAAAAAAATTTTGTCTTAAAAAATTCATTATTAATTTTTTATTTGAACCGTTTCTTTTATTAATATTTTATTATTAAATAACGTTTTTTTAGCAAGACAGAGGAATT